TCTTTTTGTATTGCCATTTGTCAGTATCCGCTCTTAAAATCCAGGATGGAAAACCATTTGGAGCCCGATAAAGTTTTTAATGTATCGTCTATCCTCCGAAGGCATTTTTCCGTTTCCTATACAGCCAGCGCGATTGATCGCTCTCACCTGCTAGGAAACGGAATGCTTTATTTAGCACTCCATTTCCTAGCAGGTATGCGCGAGTCTTTGCAATCTGCATGCACGACTCCCTGCGCCATCACTGTTCTTGTGTTGTAGGAAAAATGCGTTTTTCTGTTCTATATTTAGAGCTACTTTGACGGCATTGTTTCATTTGTTTTTGTCTATGTAACGCGTAGTCTGTGAAGACCCGAAGGTAGTAGGTATTTGATTTGTGCTATATTTAAAAAGATGATAAAAATGAATCTTGAACAGATAAAAAATACATTAAACAAAGTTGATGGAAATTATAAAGTAATATTCAATAAAACAAATAACTCAGAAGTGACTGTCAGAACCTGCTTTATTCTAAATGATGATGAGACATTGAACGATGACGATAGTTGTATGAGGTGGATCAAAACATTTTCGAAATTAGCGTCCACGGACTGGATAGTAGGAAGAACCTACAATAAGTTAGAGCAGTTAGAATATAGAAAAGATTATATTTGCCAGCACAGTGAAATATATTGAATAAGTTCAAATCAATGGCTTTGAACCAATAATAATTATTAATAGAATGCGGGAACTACGTCAGCGCAGCGAGTCGCGCATACATGCTAGGAAACGGAGCACATTATGTAGCCTTCCGTTTCCTAGCAGGTGAGAGCGATCAATCGCGCTAGCTGTACAGGAAACGGAAAAATGCCCTCCGGAGAGGGAAGCTGTCCTTCTTGGTAACGTCATTAAGCTTACGGAAGTCCACACAAAATCTAGAACTTCCATCATTCTTCGTAACCAATACTACTGGCGCATACCATTGACTATTTGACTCTTCAATAATTCCCTCTTGAAGCATTTTATCAATTTGGTTTTCCACTTTATGTTGTTTAGCCACTATTGAGTGTGCCAATCCAGTATCAATTTTGTGTTGAATTAAACTTTGGTCCATCCGGTTTGATCATCCATCACAAATACGGTTTTCTTCTTTTAACATAAGTAGAAATAATTAAAGAGACAGGACTAAGCTACTAAACACATAGGGTTAAATGGGACCAGTTGACAGATACCCATTTCACTACAGGATCATTGATCGTCTCTGCAGGTTCCTTCATAATATTGAAATTCGTACATCTTCGGCAGCTCGGCTATACTCGGATTCGACAGCGCCATTGGCGTAGTTTAGATTTGGTCTTGGGAGAGGAGGGACAAATTTGTAGGAAGTAATCCTTACAGCAATAGTAACTTTGCCGCAAGCGCTGCAGGAAGAAAAGCGCCGCAGCCGCGGAATTTTTGGGTCTTTTCACGGTATTTTTGGGACTTCTAATGATGAGGGCAAACGGCAATGCGGCTATTTCAACAAATTTTGATGAAAATTTATAGTAGAACGTTGATAATATGGACTGAAATCAACACACTCCCTCGCTATGATGCCTCGCACAAGTAAAAGTTTGACAGGTCAACACAGGCCAATTTTAATGCAATAGAATGAAATGTCTAGAAAAACTTTAATGTTGAATAGAGAAGGAAACATAACGATTTCCCCTGTTCCACCTCCGGCATTCTCAGCGCCCTTTTACCACCTTGTTGTTGTCTCCCTCCGCTTCGCGACAGGAGGCAAACCACATCTCGCTCTAAAATCTAATACTTTTGTCCCTTGTACTTATAATGAATAACTATTATTGATGGAATGTTCCATCTTTCGGTGTTAAAGTTGCTCAATATATTGGAATATAGAATATCATCCATAACTCTTTGGAATGTAGCCGGTGCGTTCTTCAAACCAAAAGGCATGCGCATAATGCCCGTTTTCTGTGCTGAATGCGGTTTTTTCGATGTCGTTTTCATGCATCTGGATCTGATGGAAGCCCCTAGCTAAATCTAAGGTGGTGAAATACTGGCAGCGTCCCAGCTTCTTCAAGAGATCCGTTATGTTGGGTAATGTGTATTTGTCATCTAAGCTTTTTGTATTAAGGCCCCTGAAATTTACTTTACAAATAGTTAGGAATGTTAGGATCAGGAACTCAATATTTTTGTACCTATTCACTACACCCACTACATGCAATGCCAAAATCACTATGGGGGCTCCGCCCCCATAGCAAATTCTTTACGGGGGCTCAAGCCCCTATTGCCCCCATGGTTCCGGCACCTATGTTCTTCTTTCAAGATGAAATCTGTGGTTTCTTGAAATCTATCTGGATCTAGGCGTTTCCATGATTTCTCCAAAGTCTGCATCAAGGTGTCTATATCCAATTTCGAAGTGCGCATGTCGCTCATAGGTGACATTAACGTACATATCCTAGTGCGCGTGTCGCCTATGTACAACAAGTGTATGCATTGCTTTGTATATTCCGTACAAATTTATCACTGGTTGGGCGTGAACAAATTTTTGTCAGTGTGTATTGAACTGAAGGATTCTCTTATCCGTTTTCGAGTTTGTTGTGTTGGTGCCTAATCACGTGTGATTGAAAAACAAGGGCAACAGGGATAGTGAGTCCGGTCCTTGGGGCTTGAACATCTTGAATTGTGTTTCAAAAATGACAAAAAACTCTAAGATTCCGAGCTAAAAAAGGCAGACATTTGCTCTGGACATGTAACAGGCGTAGGTAAACAGAATCAGGGGCGTAACCAGGGGGGGGGCAAGGGAGCATTTGCCCCCCCCCCAAGACAAAAGTCAATTTTTAATTAATAACATCAAACCACTATTATATATGTACCATCGTCACCAAAAGTATCTGGGACAAAAATAATTTATAATAATCTCCTGGAATATTTCTACCATCATTTGATTTATTCATAGTTTGACAAATATTTGACACTAAAAGTCATATTATAGTACAAGAGCTAATATGTTGCTGTCCCAGTTACTTTTGGTGACGATGGTACATATCAGGTTCCAAATAAACTCATCTCCAAAATGTCGTATGTCATGCGCATATAGTCACCTAACGTTATCAGTAAAATAAAAGCCGTTCTAATCCAAGTCCCAGCACTCTCAGCAGTGGCAACAACGTGTTTCTACAGGAACTGGCGGGGTTTCCCCAAAAATCACGAAGCACAAGACAACCGATTCCGACAACGCGATCCTTCGATTTCGTCTGTTCCCTGTTCTAATTTTATAGTTAAGTTTAGTTAAATATTGATAGAAGGTGACATTTAAATCCTTGTTTTATTTTCGAGACCAGAGCCGTAGGGAGCGGGGGTGATGCCCCCCATTTGCCGTTCAAGAAGGCGACGAATCCTTGTTCTTTTGACGATTTCAACGACTTCTTGGCAAAAATTGGGCGTGGCACCCCTATAATTTTTCCGGCTACGCCGGCTTTTCTTCGGCGGCGCCTGCAGCGGGAATTTCTTGTCCCCTCTCCAAATGTTTTTTTCTGGGTACGACACTGAACAGAATGTTCTGGAATTTCCCTCAAAATCTCTTCAAATATCCTAGTTTTTGATTGGAGTTCCAAACACTTTGGTGAAGTCACAAATTGAATAACTTGCTCAATTCTCCAAGAGAATGTTCTAGAATTTTCTTGAAATGTCTTCTCTGAATGTCGATTGATATAGCAAATACGTCGGTGAAGTCACAAGTCACAAGTTCGATATCTCCCTTGGTTTTCAAATAGAAGTTTCTAGAACTTATTTGTATAGGTATACAGTCACTTCCGGGGTAATTTCCACAATCGGTCAACACTCTTTTGATGATTGTCACTGCTTACACTGACTAAATTGTCCCAGTATTTACTTAGTGTCCACACTAGTGTCCAAAGTAGTCTGCACTATCCTGCAATCGGATTTCACTTTGCAGTCCTCGAATTATATCTCACTTCTGACACCAATGTCACGGCTAAGGGGTGCGTGACAGAAATCTTGGGTCTGTTTATTCTAAAATCAATTATTCCACTAATACCGACCTTTATATATCGGTAATCCATTCTTGTAAAATCCCAGAATAAACGCGATAGCCTCCTTCTTGAACAAGACAAGTATTTTCTGGGATTTTAGGCATGGATTCTGTATACCCTGGCGAACGTGCACCGTCATAATAGCCATCTTGGATCTACAAAAGGCTTCTTACGACACTGTTTGTAGGAAGGCTACAACACCGGAAACAACCCCACCATTACAAAGTTTCCTCCAGAACTGATCCTTCAAGATCAGGATTCAACAGAAGATTAATCCACCATAAACTCCCCACAGGGCAGCGTCCTAACCCTCATACAATTCAATAGCCCCAAAACCAATAGTAGGTACAAAAATAGCCCCTCTGTTATCACAAAGCTAATCAATTCCGACTATAAAAGAGTGAGAAACAGAATATCAGGACAAAATAACACACCGTTGAGAAGTTGCTGTCTCTAACCACATAGGACGATAAATCACTTAATAAATCATCACAATAAATGCCAACCAGAGATGATGACGTAATGTTGTTAATCGCTATTATTTCCGGCCACCTGCACCCATAAATTAAATGCTTGGAATTTATGGACGCTGAATACTTGACCCGGTCTGGATTTTATTTATTCGACTGCTTGAATCGGTCTTTTCTTAGAGAACGGCCAGATTTTTGTTGCATTTGTAACAAAAGTGTCCAGAAAAACCTTGTTCCAAATATTCTAGATATAAATATCATTCTTGCTAAACATTTAACAATCGGCCTTGAACCAGCCATGAGGCAAGTTTCCTAAAAATACCACATAGTTAACAGATTTCGTAATTTCGCCAGTCAATAACCCGCTGATAACACAGTATTTGTCACCATATCAAGCCGACAATGTCCGAGGTTATCTAGCGGCACCATTGATGCCATTTTTCAACACACAATCTTCACTAGAACGACTTAGCTAAAACGATTTTTTTCTTTCCAGATGCTCGACTTAAAACCAGAACGACAGCCCGAGCCGCCTACCAAAACACCACAAGTACCATTTGTTCCTCAACAAATAGAAAAACCACCAACTGAAGATGTTCCTGCGGCTCCTTTAGCCGGGAAATTTGGTTGGACGTCAAACGAAGAAACGTTCCGGCCATTGCCGTTTGTGACAAGAGACTCGGAACGCTTTATCGCTAAAAAAATTTGCGAAACCGACTGGTTTCTATGTCCCAATGCAATTACAACCTCCGAAGAGTACTTCAGGGTATACAAAATGACCAGCAGTGAGGCGACCACTTACAATGAAGTGAACATCAGTCACTGTGATAGAGGTTTGGTGGGAAACTATTTTTTTCTACCTGGTGATATTCTATTCAACTTGGAAGATATCAAGAAATTTCTCCGATTTCTGGCAGTATTCAAACATATTGTGAAATACAAAAATTTTGGAAATGATATGTTTGGATTTGTGAAAATCAACAAGGAAAATTATACTGTGCCATTTGTTTGGAGCGAAGGCAGACAATTGATGCCCACATTTTATTTCGATGGAGTAGATGAAATCCTGAAAGATAAATGTATATGCATTACAGATAAATGGATGCGTCTTTATCTGAGAGTATGTTTTATCCTACAAAAAGTCAGACCGGAACTCTATAATCTGAAATCTATTCGAGTAATAGATGCAATGGATATTAAACCATTATTCGCTCCGGATACAAATTTTACACTTTCCTGGCCAGAAGATGGCTATAAATATGAAAATTTCCTAACTATCATTGAACGGAATGATCCATCACCTGAGGCAATGCTTGCAGCCATGCATGGCGTAACTGGACCTCTACAGAGCCCACCAATAAACCAAAACCCAAAACAGAACAGACCAGATTTGATTCCTGCCGCTTCACCCATGAATGAAATTCTACAGAGTCCACCAATGAACCAAAACAGACCCGATTTGATATCTCGCACCCCTGCAACTTCACAGAATTCAAACATATATAATTTTTCCGCTATAACTCAACTCTATCAACGACCCGCAAACGATAATGTATGCTCAAATCCATTTTGTAAAGAATGTTCTTTCAACAATATCGCTGTTTATAAAAAAAGAAGAAGGAAGAGCAAAAACGAATCAGTACTACCAACAGTAGTACCTCAACAAATGCCCACATCGTCATCAACTAACAGATTAAGTAATGTACCTTACGCATCGCCCCAGTCAGCTTCAAGTCCTGAAATGCAATTTCCAAGTCCAATTATATCCGGAGCTTCTACAGGGACTGTGAGCGGGGATTTACAAATTAACACCAATCCTCAGACCGATCTATGGTCTCAACCTGTAAGGAGTGACCCAAGAACTACTTTCAGTCAGAATAATGAGCCTTACAGAAGGCAACCTCAAGATCAACAAAGGAGTAGGCTGCCTGCTTTGTACAGTTATCAGCAGCAATTTTTAGCATTTCAGCAACAGGCTAATAATATTAACAATAGAGTGGCTCCTTCTGTCAATACGCCATTGCCTCAAACTTCATATTCTGCAGGATATAATAACGGAACTCCAGCAAATATGCAAAACGTTATTGGCAGTTCTGCAGGATATAATAATAATAGAATAGTGTCTTCCTCAAATCAAAATATGTTTGTAACTCCTACAAGTTATAATAATGTATCAGAAAATACGCATTTAGCACAAAGTGTAATTGTAAATTCTGCAGGGTATTATATGTCAGTAGATAATCAAGTTTACTTGCCTGGATCGGTTACTTCTTCCAGAACTACTGTTTCTTCTAATGGTATTGAGACGCTTTTGTAACTTTAAGTGCCACTTGTACTTGAAACCAAAGATGTTCAAAAAGAATACATATTATTATTTCTATAAGGAACTTATGTACCTACATACCTACTATTTAGTTTTTAAAAATGTGCAAGCTTTTCTGTATTGTTATGGAGCTTTAATTATTGCAATAATGTGCATTTATAAAAGAGTATTATTCAGTTAGCTAGTTGTTAGGTGTATATAGTTTATGTTATGAAGGGACAAAAGTAATACACACTTTTGATTCTGTTGTTCCAAAGTATTATATTTTTAGTTTTTTTTCTACTTTTTCGAATGAAGAAACTTTTTTTTTGCCTATAAATAAACAAAGCGTGCCAAATGCAAATGTATTCTTGAGTTTTATTTAAATGCCTTTTAGATTTTTTGTTTAGGAAAGAATGATGGCTTAAATTATTCCAAACATCAGCAGACTTTTTGATGATGGTGACTAAGAATAGTTGAAACGATGATTCAGCGCTAGACAATTTTTAGGGAACCAGAATGGAGTGCCAACTTTGTTTGAATAAGTGTCGGTTTCTCAATAGCGAAACATCTCCGGGTTGGTTTTAACTCCAGGGTAAACGTGTCTAGTTAGTTGTGATGTTTACCCTGGAGTTATGCTTAACCCGGGGTGACTTGCTATTGAGACACTGGTCCTAGGACGTCTTATTTTCCTCTTTATAAATTGAAATCAATATTTTACAAAATTCTTTCAATGTTAAAATTCATTAAGAGGCGCTTGCGGAGATTCATGAGTACCAGGGAGATCTTTACAATAGATGATTTTGTATTATTTAAAGTTGAATTTGGGGTTGAAATTAGAGCAGCAAAAAGGCGTCCAAAGTGCGTAAATTTGAGTTAACTTTTGAACTATTTCTCAATTTTGGGTATTTGAGAATCCATTTACTGCTGCCACATTTGTACCTTTCGTTCTTATTTATTTTGTATGTACTTATGTTATTAGAGGATCCCATGTTCAGAGGGTACGTCACTCTCGGGAGAGAGAAACACCACTCCCACTGTAGGTCTCATGATTCCCGCTCTGTCACTCAAAAAAAAAAGATTATAGATAAACTGTGTCGTCTGGGTTTGAGTGTTCCATATAATCGAGTGCAAGAAATATCAGCCACAGTTACCAATATATTGTGCCAAAGTTATGTCCCACTGTATTTGTAACATCAACAATAGGCAGCATTGATCACAATCAATCCTCTTCTACTTCCGTTACTTCGTTCCATGGTTCAATAAGTGTTACGATTTTTCAGCATCCTTACAGTGACACAGTTATGGAGATTGACGATAACAGCGTTCGTATCCAGCAGTGCAACAATTAAATTGTCAATGGCCTCCCTGAATATTATACTTCTCTTCCTGAACTGGTGAAGTTAGAAGTGACCCTCCTTTGCCAACTGTCAATCCACAGTACACTGACCATGATCCTGCCTTCACTCCTAGAAAATTCTTAAATCCTTGGCTTAACTCTGTCCTGGAGAGATTGCATATTGACATACAAGGAATAAAACATGATGCATAGAGTATCGTTCGCTGCTTTTCATGCACAAAATGAACCGGGTTTGAGAAATATAAAGTGTAATGCGTCATTGCTTCTACTTCTAAATGAAGAAATTGCGACGCCAGCAATGGTACGGCATATGATGGATATCATAATAATGGTTACAGTAAAATTAAATGGAAATCAAGCTCTCGTGATTACATGTGACCAACCAGTATGTGCTATTGGGAAGCAACTGCAATGGAAATTTCCTGATAAGTATGGCGAGGATCGCATCATATTCATTCACACAGAAATGATGGTCATTAATTTACTTGGCAAGTGGTTAACTGGCAGTGGATGGACTGAATTAGTGACAGCCGCTGGTATTGCAAGTTCTGGTGTTGCGGAATCCTGCCTCACATCGTTGCATGTAAAAAGATCTCGGTATGCACACGAAGTTACTTTAATACAATATACAATATTGGAATACAGTTATCAAACTGGAGTCGATCTCTTCTAGTGCAACTTGTATTGAGTATTCATACATCTAACTTTACCTATGTACGTCGATACTTTAAGTCAGTTATGTTCGTGAACATTTATTGCGTTGGACGCAGTCCACTATTCTCGTTGGTTACCAGTGGTCGTACGCACTCTACCAGGACCTTTCAGAAAAACATTCAGATATACATGCTGAATTTCTTCGTGGCAACTTCCCGAGCAGCAAAACTGCTAGACCGTGCCCTGCAATATCTGACGATCAGCTTCATGAACACAATAACAAATTTTATAAAAGATGAAGGTGGCGATATTGGAATCCTTGACAGTGAAAATGCTGGATAACTGCATGTGACTGCACATCGGACTGCACAGAATTTATAACGATCAAGCGACTGTATTATGACTGCATGAGTGCAGGTATTCCACTGACTGCATGAGAATGTATGGACTGTAGAAGAATGTATGGGCTGCATATACATGAATGTATAATATTTGTAGGTAGGTACAGTGGAAATCATTGCAATTGGCACCTGAGGCACACACTATACCAGTATACCGGGTATTTTTCAAAACCCGCTCACCCCTATAACTTTTTTATTTTTCCAGATAAACAAATGAAATTTGGTGTGTTTATTTATGACCCGGATGTGCATTATTTGACGTATTTAATTTTTTACTATCACTTCTGGTTTGACCGGAAGTGACCCTAACTTTCTTATTTTAAATGAGACGCTAGGTATATTTTTCCTCATTTTAATAGAAAACTACATTACGAGTACAATGACACTTTTTGACATTTCATCACCAAATTATTTACATTTTTACTTTTAAATCTAGAGCACCATGAATAAGTCAAAATGCTTAATTTTGCTCCTAGGAACATGGGAAAATTTGTTTTGGATCTTATTTTGTATTTTATATCCTCTACAGACTTATTTAAAGATAGTAGAAGCGCATTTTTAGAATTATATCAGTTTTTTCAAATGGAAGGGTATGGCTCATGAGCATGTTCCAAAAGAGCGTTTTCAGTACCACACAATCGCTAGTTCATCACTCAAATTAAGAATTTTTCTAGCATTCTAAATATTTTTGGAAAATTTTTGTTCAATATTTGAATAAACTAGCGATTGTGTGGTACTGAATTGTTTGTTAGAAAATGCTCTCTCGAAATATGCTAATGAGCCATACCCTTTCCATTTGAAAAAATTGATATAATTCCAAAAATGCGTTGCTACTAACTTTAAATGAGCCTTTATTAGAGGATATAAAATTCAAAATAAGCTCAAAACAAATTTTCCCATGTTTCTAGGAGCAAAATTAAGCATTTTAACTTATTCATGGCGCTCTAGATTAAAAAGTAAAAATTTAAATAATTTGGAGGTGAAATGTCAAAAGGTGACAAATGAGGTGTCATTGTACTCGTAATGTAGTTTTCTATTGAAGTGAGGAAAAATTTACCTGGCGTCTCATTTAAAATAAGGAAGTTAGGGTCACTTCCGGTTAAACCGGAAGTGATAGTAAAAAATTGAATACGTCAAATAATGCACATCCGGGTCATAAATAAACACACCAAATTTCATTTGTTTATTTGTGTTTTATAATATCAGATTTTATCTTGTGATTCTTGTGGGTATTTATGCCTTTTTGTCTAGGTACCTACCTTTCGAAAGGGGGGGTAATACTTACTTTGGTACTTACTTGGTACTTTTCGAAAGTGGAGTAATACAATAACAATTTATTAAACTATTTCAGCAATTTTTCACTTACTAGTGTGTAAAGTAATTCACTTTAGGGCGAAACCCATTATCCTTATACAGGTGTCTGTAAAATGCCGGCCACTACTTCTTAAATTGACGCATAGATGGCCATATAATAAAACTCCACTACAGTGGATCTCCACTAGAGTATGTATCTCCATTTACAGTGACTAAATTCTCCACTAACAGAACATTTTATTTCCATCTCTGTTAATAATAATAAAATAAAAAAGGACAACTAGCTTCAGCTTATGGAAAATCGTTTGACATTAGGTAACGCTGATCCGAATAATTGGATCACATCTGTTTGTCTTTTATCTTTTTTTAATGAACGCGATTGAAAAAAGACAAAGAACATTTTATTAGCCTTTCCGCAAAGGAATTTCAAACTGATTAGAGAAAATTGTCAAAGTACTGAAATTCCAACCTAAAACCTACAAATATTTTCTTCTTGGGAGATTCCCAGATTCAACTGAGATTTTTTATGGTGAGAGGAAGATTTGTTTACTTGATGTTTGAGCTAAAAGTAAATAAATCCAAGATTTCATTAGCAGAATCAGTTACTAATAAAAATACTATAAACAAGACCCCAAAGTGAAGAAGGTAAGTATACGTACCACGTACCACATACCTAATAATAATAATAATAAATATAGGCATTGGTATAGTATTTCCAAACTCAATTGGAACAAGGTACCAACTGGTGGGTGTCTGGTCACTGAAAATTTCCATAAGAAATGCACTGCCACTAGTCAGCCACCAGTTATGATTTATGTCCACCTTGTTCCAGTTGACTTTGGAAAAACTATACCTAAGTATCTAATGATAAAGTATTGCCTCATAAGTCATATAGCATGTACCTACATAGAAAATTTGAACCTAAAACCTTATTCTTGAAACATGGGAGTAGCGTTCCCAGGAGAACGAATGTTCCGTTCAAATGATAATATAAGTTAGAAAGGCTTGGCACATATAATAAACCTTATATTTACAACAGGATCTGTGCCCGAATGTTTTAAAACTTCTATTGTTACTCCCTTGGTTACTCCCATTTTCAAAGCAGGTTACAAAAAAAAATAACAAATTATCGGCCTAGTGTTATCACAAATTTTGCAAAAATATTTGGAAAATGCCTTAAAGCGAGACTGTAATTTTTTATCAATGAATAACATTCTATCAGAGAATCAATATGGGTTTCAAAATGGTATAAGCACTGCTGATGCTATTCCCAGGCTCACAAGAACAATCACAAAACACCTTGATAGTGGAAAAAAAATGTCTAACTGCTTTTCTTGATCTTGCGAAAGCTTTTGACACAGTGCGTCATGACTCTCTTATTGATGTTTTAAACATTTATGGGGTCAGAGGTGTTGTGTTGGATGTCTTCGCGAGCTATTTGACAGATCGAAAGCTATTGACAAAAATTATTAATGTATTAAGCAATAGTTAGGAGGTTCTGATTGGCATTCCTCAAGGAACAGTTATGAGCCCTTTGCTTTTCTCATTGTACATTAATTCTTTGACTAATATTCTGATAGAGAATGGCATGGTGATATCCTAAGCTTACAGGAGAAACATGGGAAGAAGTATATACACATGCCTCACATGGGCTACATAATATAAAAAAATTGGCTTGATAGTTTTGAAGTCACTTTAAATGTTAACAAAACTAACTATATAGCTTTCTCCCTAATGGCAAATCGCCCCAATTTTGATGGCATTAGGGTGGACGGATTTGAAAGAGAAATTAGAGAGGTGCAACATACTAAATATTTAGGAGTAATTATTATTGATCAGAATCTCAAATGGAAGCAACATGTGGCTAGGTTGACTATAAATATTAGAAAATTAATTCGTAAATTTCATATGATAAAAGAAATATTAAACAAACATCTTTTAATCTGTGTTTATAGAGCTCTGGTAGAATCTCTCTTGATATACGCTATGATTGTATGGGGAAGTTTATATGAAAATGCACTAAAACCTCTGAGAACAGTCCAAAATTATATTCTCAAGATTATCTTTGGAAAAGATAAAATGTTTCCCACCTGTCAAAATCCTCTCCGTAAGGTGTTTGTATGTGTTGAATGTCTGTTCTTATATGTATCAAAATGTCAAAATAGTGGGAGAACATGTCAGTCACTCCTACTCCACCAGGTCCAATGTTGTGAGAGACCTACAGATACCTAACAGAGCCACTAATTTAAATATAAGATCTATTGAATATCTTGGTGGTAAAATCTACATCTTACCAGTGGAACTCAGAAGGATAACAGTTAACAAAAAAAAATTATTTTTAATTAGAAATTATCAAAATCCAGTTTTATATGTAGTAGGTACATACAGAAATTTACTTTTCTGGGAACGCTGCTCCCCTGTTTCAAGAATAAGGACCCAGTTTTACTTATCACAAATTATGGTCTCAGTTCAGGTCCCAAAGATACATCATATTCATAGCCAATATTTCCTGTCTTTCTTGTTACTAAAATACCTAAGACTAGTCTACCACTTGGCTATTCATATTCATAGAGTAGAGTCCCTATGGCCAAAAACCCAAATTAGGGCTTGTTTAATTTACAATTTTCGTTTTTAATACCAAAGTCAAACAAATTCAAGTTTATATAAAAAAACTAAACTTTTGAGTACCTAATAAAGACATAATTTAGTTATTTTTTGCTTATAATTATAGCTACACCATGTCAGTATTGCAAGAGACTGAGGAGGGCATTGAGGAAACAATTACCGCAATAGCATGGGAAAATATTGGCAAAACTGCATTACCTTTCATAAGAAAGACAAATGGGCAATTGTTAACCTCGAAACATTTACTAAAGGATGTTCTTTTCAGAAAAGAATTCGAGGTATTTAATTAAAATAGTTTAACATTAATAATGATTGATTAATGACTCTTTTTAGATATTAAAAGATGAAATATTTGATTTAACCTGTTCCCCCCGTTTACGCCGTTTTAATGCAAGTAGATTGGAAAACAGACTCTTACATGAAACTTCTCTTGAAATGTTGAACGTTTCTTTAGCAGACAGACCAATTTGTTTACTTATAATCGATGATGCCTTTCAAGTTTATACAATCCTCAAGAGTTTCTATATAATCATCACAGAAAAGACATTTCCAGATCCATTATATGGTTTTGTGTATCTTGAGAGTAGCCCAACACCTATACCATTTTTAAGCGTGAAAAATGTAGGTCTTGTAGTTCCGACATGTTTCTTTGAATGTCCACGTCTAAAGCCAATAATGTTTTCATTAACTGACCACTGGGACCTGGTTAATTTGAAATTATTATTTAAACTACTCAAAATCCGCAAAAACCTCTATGATAACATAAAAGTAGTCAGACTGAAAAGTCTATTATCAAGTTACCCAGAAGCATGTAAAAGCTACAGTGTCGCCCACCAGTTACCTGAAATTGTTGATGTTTCTGAATTTACTGTATATGATGACGATATAATAATTGTTGAAAATCAGCCAGACTCTATTGAAATTCTCTCTTCGGATGACGAGTCTAGTAATACACAAGAACCAAAGAAATTGAATATCAAATTCACCTCTCAAAAATTGGATTTTTTTCAAGACAAGAAAGATGGACAAGAAATATCACATGAAGACACAAAGAAACAGGTATGATATTGTTTTTAATAAACATTCTAGAAATCCAGCTTGATTGGGTGACTTTTGTCAAAGACAATACTGGAGCTGGAAATGGGACAAACAAAACTTGAATTTTCATTCCTGAAATTTCAAGCTTTTCTGGCTCTTGATTGGCTGGAAGTAGGAAACAAGTCAACCTTGACACACCATTGCAAATAATCTTTTAAATAACAGGCTCATTTTTTTTGTGTTTACAGGACAACCTTGATAAAAGCCTAGCACTGTTACCACAACCAGCAAACTCCAACCCTACTAATCAGCAGTTTGTTTTTCAAAATCAAGTAACTATACTGGACATTGTTCCACAGGAAAATCAAGAATGTTTACCACTGAACACACATCACAATTCTGATAGTGACGCAAAGTTGGGTTTTCATAAGGTCCACAAAATAATAGCCGGCAACAGTTGGACAAATTACGATGTAGGTCTGCAAAGGTTCAGAGATTTCGAATACGAGTTTATTTGTATAAGCACAAAGCAAAATCACACTAAAAAAGTTTTTTTGATAAACTTATCGGAAATTCTTGGAATAATGTTTCCTAAGGTGAAAGTAGACAGTTTTATGGCGAACTGCAATAAGTTTTCATTGAAAATTTTTGCATTGGATACCCATCATATAGAATTTTTAGCAAGTTTCTATGCACAGAAGAAACTGGTACCACCCAAAGACTATTTCTATTTGGAGCTTCGGAAATTTTGTGATGTGTATTGGAGTTTGAGGCGATCAGTTGAGGGATGATTATTTGATTGTTTTTTTCAAGAGTTTAGAAAGATTAGTGCTAATTTTTCTCTTATCAAGGCTTTTTTCATAATTTAATATTTCTGTTTTCATGTTGCATATTTATGTATAAGGAAATATTGGTTTTTTTCGTATTCAACCTGTGAAACGAAAGCATTTTTTTTTTTTTTAATGTATTCCTGTGATAATAATTGTATAGACTAATAATAAATGTATTGATAATTGTATTTGTCTTTAGTTTGACTTTCTCTTTTTGTAAAGGTTTGTCCATACTCTCTGAAACGCAACAGTAGGTACAAAAAAAAAAAAAATAGAGAGAGGCACACTTTTTTCAAAAAGTTTCAAATTGAGAGTCTCGGGGCAGACTCCGCATGAGAATGATTGGGTGTACATCACGAAAACGGGTTTCATGGATCGAAATTTTTGATGTATTGACCCGCCGTGTTACTTTTCTAGAGCCTGTGCCGTTAATTTATTGATATAAGTAACAAAATTCTAGTCACTTACCTCAAGAACAAAAGATGAAGCATTACTTTCCATATCGTCTTCATTAGAAATCCGAGCAAACATTTTATCTGACGGCCTGAAGATGGCTTTTTCAGCGGGAACGAAACATCCTATACATACTGATTAGGTCACAAACAAAAATAACTATAGCAAAACAATACCTGCTTGAGCCATGATCTGCAAAAGCATAACTTGACGTATAAAGATACTTTTTCCAGCTCCATTCGGTCCTGTGATGATGTGCAAGTTGTAATGCTCGCAAGTAGCCTAAATTTTCATTAGATAATCATTTTTCCAAAAAACAATAATTACATTTCTTACCACAGGGTTAGATACTGGTGTCTTCTGGCACAAAAAGTCTAAAAGTGGATGATGACCATGGCTGACGTCAGTGTATTCGGCAAATGTTGGTCTGACCCAGCTATTTGCTTGACTAGCTTCAGCTAGAGATTGCAAAATATCTAAATAAGAAATCCCTTCGACTAGTTCATAGAAAAGAGATGCGTATTGCTTTATTTCGAGTATTGTCTTGTAGAGTGTTCTGAAATATTAATTCATAAAGAAAATCACTTGGACATTCGATTAAATACATACAAGTTGCTCAAAGAAAACAAATCCCTTAAAATATCATCAATTCTAGTAGATAAATTAACTAATTCGGCTGTTTTCATGGTAAAACTATTGGCCGAACGGAAAACCTATAACAAATGTATTAATACATTTAGATTTAAAACAAAAAAATATAAACCTGTATAAATTCTTCTGGCAAATCTGAACTCTTCATATGCTTTCTCTGATTCTGATTTAGACTCAAAACAATGTGATATCCTTTTTTATTATTATTCGATAACGTCAAAGGCAAATCGTATTTGGTGCTTAGATTTTTTATGTATTCTAGAAACATTATTGGAATTATTTTAGTAAAATTTCATAATTGTTTACCTCTCATATCTTCAATCCGCTCAGAAAAAGTTTTCCTAACCAAATCCAATAGTCCATTAATCTCTGGTTTGATGGCCCAAATTCTCTGTTGGTCAGCTTGTTGGCCTCTTGCCGAATACGCATCCTCGTGGATAGTTTGCCTTAGTAAATTTTTAATAGCCTCAAAATTTTCATCGCATAAAGTTTCTCGGAAATTCAGGAAAAATGGCTGAGTAGCATTTTTCAAAGCTTCATTTAATGGCTCAATTGTGTCCACTACACCGTTTAACAATAAAAGATAATTTAATTGCCTATTTGAGCATCTACAAATAAATAATTGTGTTTATTAAATTATTGATAAATTGCAAAATTGATCTAACCCCTGTGGATCTTCTGGAACCAGAGTACTCAAAGACAAAAGCTGATCAACACTAGACAATTTCGGTAAAACTCCTTGCATGGCCAATAGGATTTCTTTTTTGTTGATTAACTCTTCCACACAATCCAACCTTTCGTTAATTTTTTTACTAGAATATAAGGGTTGCAAAATAATAGTCCTCATATGTCTTGTGCCCACTCTGGTAAGGCATCTGTTCATTATACCAAAAAGACTCGAATACCTATTGGCCTGAGCAGGTTGGTTGCTGCACACCAATTCTAGTCTATCTGCAGTTGCAATGTCGATTATAGCATACCCTTCAGATGCTTGATAATCTATTTTAATGGAATTAGTTGAGTAGTAAATGTATAAGATGTCTTGTAGGTAAGTTAAGAGGCCTGAAGCTGCTGCTAATGCATAATATCTACAATAATTGATTATTTTTTTCAATGAGTACTTAGGTATGTATTTCAAGAGTTCTTACCTGTTTTTGATCATCAATATTAAAGGAAAACTGTGCGAGATGCAAATTTTGTAAAGTTTATCCAAACCGTTTGCCTTATTGAATGCCTTTCGTTGATAAGCTACAATTTTTTTATTTGGCAAACGTTTTTTGATTTCAGAAATTAGTCGATTGCCAGTTGTTTCAAACGTAGCTGGGTAAATAATCTACGGAAAATCATGCTATGTTCATAGGAATAATAAAAATACCTACGTGCTTTTTACCATGTGAGGATTGATGATATTTAACTTGGTCAGCGTATTTGAGTAGCTTTGCGAATCTGACGTTTGGCACAGCATGAGAATGGGCCTAGAGACGTTGACCGCAGCTATACCCACTTCGCATCTGGCTTCACCTCTTCCTTCGGTTATTGCTAGGAGTAAAATATAAGGAAATTGAATTTGTGCTGGACAAAAAGCTTAGCCAGGAATTCAGTCCAATCAATCGGCTTGATTTGTGGTCAGTTGATTGATAGCTCAATAATGGAAGAAAATATAGTAGAAAAGCCACTTGCATCATAAAACTATGGAAAATCCCTATGTCCTAATTCCTAATCCCCAGTAAAAGGAATAAGGCATTTTCTTATAGAACTTGTTTAGGAGGCGTTTGACATAAAATTGCCAAGAGACCTTTTCGGTTTCTTGTCGCTTTTTCTACTGGATAAGGTATCTTGTTTTGTCGAAATACAAAAAAGGTCAACTTCCAATTCGGGAGAATCCCCAGTAAAAAGGAGGGATTTTTGTATTGAGGTTGCTAAGAGGCCTTACCAAACAACCATCCCAGGAGAGAACATCACTTAGACAGCACAACCAGAAACTTCATTTAAAAATTATCTGAACATCGATATTCAGAAATTATTGAAAGCCGATACTCTATATTGACTAATACATTGGAATGTGAATTAAGCAAAAGTTCATGGACCTTTTTTTTAAGTGCTTTCAACAATTAATATTCCAAAGGAGCCGAAAAAGGTATAAAAGGATCAATAAATCATGCACGAGCCTATATGATGATACCCACTTAACAAACCACTTAGCGACGCCCCAGATAATTGATTAAAAGAGGACCAAATACGCTAATTGATCGGATGATTCAACCACGAAAAATCGAGGTCAGAAACAATAAAGAAATTCAAGACAATGGGAGGGACCAATGATATTAAAAGGCAATTTTGGCAGGAGAAAATGAGTGTTCGAGAAAAGAGTGTTCGAGAAAGAGCGAGTAAACCGGCAGAACTACGGCGTGAAGGACCAGTGTCTGTTGAGTAATCAAGAAACAAGTAGTAATCGAGAATCGAGAGACCTGTGTCCAGAAAGTCAGAACTACGGCGTGAAAGAGTTGTCGAATTAACCGAGAGAAGAAGCAAGACGTGAAATAACGGCGCGAAAATATTCGAGTTTTTTATTAAGTCTTCATAATTAAAGTAAATTCCTTCGACCAATAAAATTTCCATGTAATTAGGTGGGGTCAGCAGTAAATATATTATTGTTAAAAGTAAGTAGAGTTTTTTTTTATGTTCAGCCAAAAATAGTGAAGGCAAGAGTGTGAATCGAGTCCAAACTGTAAATAAAAATTTTACCACTTTAAACTGTGTCTCCACTCAGAAACTAAAGTCACCGCTCGCCAATTTAACATCTTGCTAAGTTTCTGAAAGTGGAGTCTCTCAAATGGAAAACTATGCTCACTAATGCGTTTCCAGACCAACACGATTATCCAACATAACATTGAAAAAAATGATTCATTTGTTGAAGACGCCTAAACAAACTAGACTGAATATTACTTTACTAAAATGGAGTTGAGATTGAAGGAAAAAAGGCTGTAGCTATGTTGATAGATGGCATTGAAGATAGTGCCATACAAAATGGTGCAAACGCAGGTAAATGATTCCTACCTTTAGAGAACCAGTCAGTGCCGGGAGCTCAGATCATGCCATTGTGGGCAAAAGAGGCATGTAGATATATAGATATTGCCGTAAAGCCAAGATTGAATGCACTATGTGTAAGAAGTTGAGCCATACTGCAACTAATTACTACAAAAACCGATCATCTGCTTCAAAATCAGCTCTGACTCTCCAAACAGAAAACCAGGACTTTGAAAAATGTTATCAAGTTACTGGTAAAGTGAATGGAGTTTCCTGTGACGGACTTATTGATACAGGGTGTGCGGTGCTTACTATACGCTTAACCACTGCTGAAAAATGCAACATTTTATGGCAGCCCTGGCAGCATATGAATAAGTGGCTATGATGGCGATACTGCATATGCTTTGGGAACTGCATAGGTGAACATATTGAAGATGATCTAATAAATGTAACTGTTTTAGCTCTTATTGTTTCTGACAATATACAGGGTGTACCTGTCATGATAGGACAAACTGTTTTAAACCATCCTCATGTAGTACAAAAATTCGTGAAAAATTAAAGAGTAGGACTATATTTAAATCCCAATTGTTGTCGTTCCCTGAAGTAGATAGCCTTCCACTCAGTTAAATCAACTGACTGTTCATGTGAACGATCAGTATCAAGGTGATCCAGAAAGAGTTCAGCGTCGAAAGGTACGTAGGTACCATCGGCGGAATATTCGATTCCCAGCTGCGTGGCTTCAACAAAGAGTAGAATGTCACCCATCTTCAACATGTCTGATTCTGACCTGACATTCAAGGACTCGCAAGTAATAGCCAGAGGCCAGGTATGCTTACCAAATGACGTTTTCGAAGAAAATGAGGTAGGAGTACTCCATATAAATGCCAATGATTATCGGCCATTTACCTTAAAAGATATTGATTGTGATTTTTCTCTGAGTGATACTGATTGACTAAAAAGTATTATTAGTATTACTTAATAAATATCGACATTGTTTTGCTGAAAAATTAGAAGAATTATGGGTTGCGTGAAAGGTGTTGAGATGAGTATTCAGCTGAGTGACTCCTGTGACGTATCGACCTTACCGTCTCCCAATGAGCGACAGAGATTTGGTACGAGAAATTGTGCAAGATCTGCTGAAAAAGGCTATAATTCAAGAGTCCAACTCTCCTTACGCGAGTTCCATTTTATTGTTATCACCAAATACCGATAGCAAAAGATTCCATGACAAAAACTGCTTTCATAACCCCAAATGGGCCCTACGAGTACTCGAGAATGCCATTCGGATCAGCAAATGCTCCAGCAGTTTTTCAAAGAACAGTAAACCAAAAAAGAATCTTATCAATATGTTGTTGTCTAAGCTGTTTATACGATAAAAGTAGTGGTGGACCACAGCCGGGATTTTTACACCCCATACACAAAGAGCCCACCCCAATGAATACTCTGCATATAGACTACTTAGCCCCTTTTGTAAAAAGCAAGCAAGGCAACATGTACTTATTTCAATATGTTTTCATGAAATCAGTGAAAAATACCCAAAGCTTGCAAGTGATAAATTTTCTTAAAGATATCTTCAATACTTTTGGTGTGCCAAGAAGAATAATTTGCGATAAAGAAACAGCTTTCATTGAAATTGGAGTGAAGATTGTGTATAATGCCACGGGAACACCGAAGATAAGTTGAGCGCTACAACAGAACAATTATTTTCGCAATAGCTGCTTCCACAGATGAAGATGATACCTGGGATTAAACATTACATCGAATCAGATTTGGAATCAACTCATCTGTAAATAAAGCTACCAAAAAGGCCTCATGAGATGCTTTTTGGTTATAGAGGCGTGAACGATGCATTTTTAACTTCTGCAGTTTGTGTAGACCCCAATCCCGATGTAAAAAGGAAAGATGTGAAATTTAGAATCCGCGATTTAGTACTTATTCAGAAGCAGAATACCCAGAATGATGAAAAGAGTAAAAAACTATTACTTAAGTTTGGGGGACCATATATAATTAAGAAAGTATTAGATGATTATGATCGCTACTTGATAGAAAGCCCCTGCCTGATGAAAATGGACGAGGAAGACAATATAGTGGCATTTGGGCTGTAGATAAACTGAAGCTCTAAGAGGCTCGACGCGAAGAAGATAGTGATGCTTTGTCCGATGAAGGATCTGAATCTAGGATTGTTGTTACACAACCAATATTAGAGAACAAAAGTCGATTCTCTTCGAGAAGTTTAGCGCCACTAAAAGTAGGTGGCGACAATAGCGAAAAGTCGCCGAGTAGAAGTTGCTCTGTTGGTGAGGTCTTTTGGGTAGAAAGTCACTTGAAGAACCTGAAGATTAGATAGTGAAGGAAGCAAAACGTTGCTGAAACGCCTACCCCGGTATAGTGAAAAGTCACTTAGAGTGAAAGTCACTCCGGGCGTAGTGCGCAAAAAGTCTGCGTATCACTTAGGGAAAAGTCCCCTATAGCAGAAACCAAAGCTTCTCAAACTCAAATTCGCGAAAACGAAGCTTGATTGATTCAATTATGGGTGAGGATCTCAAAGAAGACCTAAGGGTGAAGCTGATAAGAAAACGATCAGCGGAGAATATGTCTCGCTGGGTCGTAATTCGAGATTAGGTTGGTAATTTTGTTTTGTATTGTTGTAGGTTTCGTGGAGTAAGTCTCGATGAGGCCATGGTAGCATTGGCCGACTGTTAGCAATTTTAAAACCATGTGGGCGACGACGCCACCAGAGAGGCCGTGCCATAAACGGTGCAATAAACCAGTTAAGGAAACTTTCAATAATGCTAGAAAATAGGATAAGGTTGGAAGGGTCTTGAGAAATTAAGACTCAGGTAGTAAGACTGTAGCCTTATGATCTCTTGACTGCCAAATGATCCGGTGACAATCACCTGAATCACCAGTCTACGTTTAGGTCTCCAAAACTATTAAATATCTAGTTGCTTCCGGCTTTTTCACTAAAGCAAAATGCCAAGCAACTGTAAAACATCCGCCACATAAATAAAAATTTTATAGACAGTTGTCAATTATATATTTTTTATATCCCATCATGGAAGAAAAACCGTCAACCTCCGGTTTGGCCACAAAAACTACAACAATAAGGCCCAAGTGTACGCATCCCCCTGTCGCTACAATGGTTAACAAGGCTATCGAAGCTTTAAACACCAAAGGAGGCTCGTCAGTGAAGGCCATCAAAAAATATATGCAGGTTCAGTATTTGGTTGAAGCTGATAAGCTGACGCCCTTTATTAAGAAATATTTAGCCAAGGCTGTGGATAATAACGTTTTAATCCAAGCGAAAGGTATACACCTTTTTATTTGTTGCCATAATATTCGAGAGTTGATTTTCAGGTAAAGGTTTGACTGGATCCTACAAGCTAGTCGGTGAACGTAAAAAAGCGAACGCGACCAAAGTCCACGTAACCGCGTCCGATGTGGCTACAAATAAAGCAAAATCGTCTTTAAAAACCCAGAAATCGACCACTAATAAACCATCTGCAACAACAATCAAGCAAAAACCTGTTGGTATAGGGGCAACCAAGTCGAAAGCTCCTAATTTAACCAAGTCAAGCTCCTCCAGCCAAATCAAGCCAAAACCTGTTGGTAAAAGGGCGTCTCGTGATAGCCTTGTCTTAGCGCGAAACAGGGAACAAACTTGAATGAATTTTGAATGTGTTTCTTTTTTTATTTTTATTTTGTATTATCTAATTATCTATTTCTAATAAACTAGTTTCACTGAAAAATTGCTTACCAACGATAATTTTTTCTTCATCACTTTCACTGGTAGTTGTTTTGGAAGATACCGACTTTTTATTGCCCGGTGAGTTGAGAATTATGCTAAAAAATTAAAGAAAATGTTGCAGGGATTTCAAAAAAGTTGTGATTACCTTTCGTGGCTTCTCCCCCAAGGCAAATCCGAAGTCCTGCTCGACGACAAACAGCTACGGCTGCGAGATTTCGGTGTTCTTGTGGAAATCGGAGGGCCCATGAAGGGCAGATTACCCCGTCGCGGTCTACCCCGGCCGGGATTTACTGGGGCCTCATTAAAATTCATATTCTTTAAATTATAAACAAAAACACCATTTTGTTTTGTCAAAATGTAGGGTTGACGTGAGTACTGTCAAAAATTTTGGTAAAATGACATGACATTCCATGGCCTACCGAGATGAAAATATTAGGTAATTAGGTCTGTTTCTGCAGAAATCACAAACCAGTCAGACTGAATTTCATTGGTTGAAACTAGTTTTCTGACTATTTCTGACTGTTTTCAACCAAAAAAATTCGCTCTGACTGGTTTGTGATTTCTGCAGAAACAGACCTGTCGAAAGCAATTTGGCGCTTTCTTTTTCTAATCGTGTAAGAGAGAGAAGGATGTAAATAACAAGTTTGAGTTTAATGGCTTCAAGCAAACAGAAAGAGATAGCTATAATGTAGGTAATATAATAGCGTTTACAATAGAACTTTTAGCCTTAGAGCAGGTAAAGCGCTGTCCTACGGACATAAGGAGTAGGAACGCGCCATTCTGCTTATAAAACTAAACTGAAGCCAAGTTTTTGGCAGGTGTTTGGCAAGGAGAATACACACTCTAAGGAGTGCTTATCGGCCTCGTTTTTGCTAATCGCCGCCATATTGGTTTTCAACTGTTTTCAACCATTGTCGACGTCATAACTAAGTCGTCAGCTGTTCAAACAGACTACGTGAAGGCGAGAAACGCCATGCTGCTTACGTCACAACTGGTTGTTTGGCTGGGGAGGGTAGGGGGGGGATCAAAATACCTGGAAAAAAACGGCTTCATTTTCCAATTCCAGGTTACTATACTACTCCTCTTTACCTTTACCTGCTCTAAGCTTTTAGCACTAAAATCGACAAAAATTAGGCGGCTTGTTATGATGATGAATTCTAGTGGAGTGGGAATCAAGGTTGTTTAAAAGAGGGAGGTTGCCTGATAACTTTTATGACGTCATCATTTGTATGCCAAAAAACATAATGCAAATCTCCATAAGGCAGTAAGGCACCCCAGATACGTCATCAAGTAAGCCATTACCAGACAACCTATTAGCTTTGGGAACCTTGAGTGGGAATCACTGGGAGGCAAAATGGCCGTGTTCCCCTGTTGGTGGTCGATAATGGAACTATTAGATATCCTCAAGGTTGTTTCAAAGTAGGTTGCTATAACTTTTATGACGTCATCTAGGGTGCCCAAACATCAAGGTTGTTTGAGAGAAATTTATGACGATTTTCATTTGTCAATCAGTGCGCACTGAGTGTATCCGCATCTTTTTCTAAAAGCATGTAACATGTAAGGATGAGGATACATTTTTTTTGCACTGGTTCGACAAATGGAAAACGCTATAACTTTTGAAACCTTGCCATAGAACCTTGCCCAAACATGCAAATTTCGTCATTGCATTAAGCCTAGTTCTCATGCAGCGGAAAATCGCGTGGCGAGTGCGGAATTTTTGAAATTTGTCCCGCAGCGGGGAAATGTCAACTTTTTGCGATATCGCAAAAAACTATTTTTAACTTTTGCTCGAGTTTTTATCCTCTGTCACTTTTTATTGTCACCTGTGAGATGTATGATACGACATTTCGATATTTGATAACAATTACTGAAATATAATGCGAAATACCCTAAATATGTTCTTGAACGGAAAGCGATATACCGCACTCGCAACGCGATTTTCCCCTCCATGAGAACTAGGTTTTAGGCGCCCCAGATGACGTCATCTCTCTCCCATTTCCCATCACCAGACAACCTTTTAACTTAGGAACCTTGAGCCTTGAGCTATCCTCATTTTTTATTCTGCGATAGACAATATTGCCGATGAAGAATAATTAACAAATTCGTATTTCTCCTAACCTTCACTGATGTCCAATGCTATATTTTCACAGGAAAAAAAGAAAACAACAAAAGGCGACTACAATACAATAGCATGTAATATTGACAGGTGAGTTATAGAGGGCGCTATTGTACTTGGAGCTCTTTAAATTTTGGCGCGTGAATATTCGAGTGTAATTAAATTTAAAAGTTTTAGTTTGACGTGTGGATTAGCTGACGCTGACACCTTTGAATATATTCTCTAAGGACCACTGAACGTTTTGGAGGATATTTCAACCTATTCACTGTGCATTGTTCATATTCAGTCATCTTTCCTCCAACTCATTTAAACGTTTTAAAACTATTGACATTTACCGCCCAAATTCAAAACACTCCAAATTCACTCGCGCCCTCTACAAAATCATGGGGAACTTTACCGGATATTTGCTGCCATTAGGCAATCCAAACCACGTGACACTCAAGATGGCGTGGCGGCCACACATGGACCAAAAGACACAAAAACATGTCTAGCTTCTGCCCGACTTTATAATTTACGTACTTAGTAAACAAATATTTTCTTGAATAATCAAAATCAATGCTGCAAACAAAACTCGAAGCAAAATAATTAAAATATGCATGAAAACACATATTCAAAATAAACTTGTTGGCCGCCACGCCATATTGAATTTTTCGTTTTGTGAATTTATATCGATTTTAAATGTTGGGTATGTACAGGGTGGCCCATTTTCGATGTTTTAATGGGCTATATCAAAAACCAGCAGAGATATCAAAAATATGGGAATGTGCTCCCATATTTCCCAATGGCGAAGACAGATCACGGCTAACTTGATGCGTTTAGGAAATATAGGGCACTTTTCAAATTTTGTCCAATTTTAAATAACTCTCTAATTTCCTTATTATTCAAGATATCCAAAAACGAAAAATACTTTCTATAGGCAGTTTTTCAAGTAAAATCCAGTGGCATGACCAATTTTTTTCCAGACGCCACCGATTTTGAAATATTGACCAAAGTTGTGTTTTTTTTAAATGGGACATCCCGTATATTATTTTTTTATTGGATAGCTCTTTGTGAACTGATTTCGATGATATAAGGTTTTATACCTTTACCTTCTATAGTTTTGGGAGAAAAAAAAATCCTATTTTTCCATAAGAAACAATGAGTTAGAAAGAGATAGTTGAATTATGAATCGGCTACAAATTTCTTAATTCTTAATTCGATTTTTCAGGTCAGCTATTTTTTTTTTAATTTGAACTATGAATCGGGGGTGATAAATAGGCAACACATAATTTATTTAATGACTTATCTCTCTCTAGCTCATTGTTTCTTACAGAATTAATTTTTTTTTTCTCCAAAACTATAGAAGGTAAAGGTATAAAACCTTATATCATTGAAATCAGATCACAAAGAGCGCTATTCAATAAAAAAATAATATAAGGGGTGTCCCATTCAAAAAAACACAACTTTGGTCAATATTCCAAAATCGGAGGCATCTGGAGAAAAATTGGTCATGCCACTGGATTCTCCCTGAAAAACTGCCTATAGAAAGTATTTTTCGTTTTTGGATACCTTGAATAATAAGGAAATTAGAGAGTCTTTTAAAATTGGACAAAATTTGAAAAGTGCCCTGTATTTCCTAAACGCATCAGGTTAGCCGTGATTTGTCTTCGCCATTGTTATTTTCTCAAAAAAAGAGTTCGAGAATGTGTTCCCGATTTTTTATATCTCTGCTGGTTTTCGATATAGCCTATTAAAACATCGAAAATGGGCCACCCTGTATATTATTGGTATCAATGCAGAAGTTCAGCATAAAAACTGACCAAAAGCAATTGAAGGTAGTTTTAAACGGGTTATTGGTTCCCCAGGATGATACACACCTACAGGATTGCTTATCGGCCTCGTTTTTGGTAATCGAGGCCATATTGGTGTGACGTCATAACTAAGTCGTCAGCTGTTTAAACAGCCTACGTCATGGCGAGAAATAATATGCTGCCTACGTCACAACTGGTAAATTTTGTTAGGGGGGGAGAGGGGGGATTTGTTACACAGGCCTTATGAGGATAGGCCATTCTGTAGTAGTAGTGTGTACCATCCTTAATTGGTTCCACCAATAGCCTAAAAGGAAAGGGCGGGTATTATGAAACTACTTTGAGAGTTAACTTAAAGTTAACTTCTGGAATTACATGTAATTCAAAAAGTTAACTTCAAGGTAACTGTCGAAGCAGTTTTTAACACCCGCCCTAAAGAGTTCTTCCACAAAAAGTTCACTTCCGTTTCAATCGAAAGTTTTCGGTCGATTTACGTTTGAAGGTGTAGTAATTTTTATGGTACCCCATAAGTATAACTGACATTGATAGCACTTCCGGTCAAACCGGAAGCAACAGTCAATTGTTTCCATGCTGAAATTCTGCGTCGATATCGATATACATTCCTAAAATTTGAAATCGATATCGTTTTCCATGCATAAGATATAGAGGGATAGAGCTTGGCCAAAGTTGATTTTGCCGGTGAATCCTATTGCCTCTGGGCTACCCAATGTTAAGGAATTAGGAACTTCCTTTTCACCCTGCATTGCGTCTAAGGATCAATAAGAGACGCCTAGAAGACGTCCATAAGATGTCGTAAATTCACTTCTGAGACAACTGAACCACACATTGGGTACCTACAACCGGGCCTGAAAGTGTATAATAGTTTATGTATTAACAAGAGATTTGAAGACGTCTTTAAGACATCTCGTTGAAGGCGTTTTCAGAATGTCTTGGAAAAATGTCATATTCCAGGCAGACGTTGGGTTTGTAACATAGAACGTCTTTGAGATGCATTGAACACGTAAGAAGAATCAAGAGCCGGGAATAGTTCAAATTTTCATCATTAATTATCAGCTCTTGAATCATTGGAAAATTTCTCTGAAATAAATCAAGACATAGTAGGGTAGCGTGGAGGAATACTGGCCCCTGAAGGAAAGTCTCGAATATCTTGGAGATTATATGCTTTAAAGGAAAACTGGAAGGTTTAAAGTAAACATAAGATGTTAGAGAACAAAATACATATTTATTAAAAGAAGTAAGACGGTCGAAATTTGATCGTGGCGCCATCTATTAGATGGCATCACTAATTACAGCAAAAATTGCTGTTTAGTGTTGAATCCTTGTCTTAGATGGCGCCACGATCAAATTTCGACCGTCTTACTACTTCTATTTTGCATATATGCACAAAACTTGGATTGGATTGGTTTTCTTT